AGTTCTGGCTATAGCAATAAGACAAGAAAAGGGGATCAAAGGGATACAAATAGAAAAGGATGAAGTCAAACTTTCACTATTTGCACACGACATGATAGTCTACATTAATGACCCGAAAAACTCTACCAGGGAACTCCTACAACTGATAAACACCGTCAGCAAGGAAGCAGGATACAAAATTAACTCAAAAAAGTCCGTAGCCCTATCATATAGTGAAGATAAATGGGCTGAGAAAGAAATCAGAGAAATATCACCCTTTGTAATAGCCATAAAGAACATAAAATATCTTGGGGTAACACTAACCAAACAAGGAAGTCCTGTTTTGCAAGAACTTTGAGTCTTTAAAGAAAGAAATGTGGATAGGTAGAATTAACATAGTAAAAATGGCAATCTTGCCAAAAGCCATCTACAGATTCAATGCAATCCCTGTCAAAATCCCAACACAGTTTTTCACAGACATTTAAAGAACAATACTCAACTTTATATGGAAAAACAAAAAACCCAGGATAGCCAAAACAACTCTTTACAATAAAGGGTCTTCTGGAGGCATTCACCATCCCCGTCTTCAAGCTCTACTACAGAGCCATAGTTCTGAAAACAAAGCTTGGTACTGGCAAAAAAATAGACAGATGGACCAATAGAATCAAATTGAAGACCCTGATACTGACCCACATACCTACGAATACTTTTTGACAAAGGTGCTAAATCTATACAATGGAAAAAAGATAGCATCTTCAACAAATGGTGCTGCTACAATTGGATTCAGACATGCAGAAAATTGCAGATAGATCCATACCTGTCACCATGCACAAAACGTAAGTGCAAATGGATCAAAGATCTCAACATAAATCCAGCCACACTGAATCTTCGAGAAGAGAAAGTGGGAATTAATTATCCTTTAACAAATTGGCACAGGAGAACGATTCCTGAACATTATGCCAGTAGCACAGACATTGAGGTCTGCAATTAATAAATGGGACCTACTGAAACTGAGAAGCTTCTGAAAGGCAAAGGAAACAGTCAGTAGGACAAAAGGACAACCCACAGAATGGGAAAAGATCTTCACTGATCCCACATCTGACAGAGGACTGATTTCCAAGAAGCTAGCCACCAAAACACCAAACAATGAAATTAAAAAGTGGGGGGGGCACAGAAGTAAACAGAGAATTCTCAAGAGAAGAAATGAAAATAGCTGAAATACATTTAAGAAAGTGCTCAAAATCCTTAGTCATCAGAGAAATACAACGCAATACAACTGTGACATACAATCTTATACATGTCAGAAAGGCTAAAATAAAAAAATACCAAGGATAATTTATGCTGGAGAGGATGTGGAGAAAAGGAACATTCCTCCATTGCTGGTGGGAGTGTGAACTTGTAAGACCACTCTGGAAATCAGTATGGCGGTTGCTCAGAAAAATGGGAATCAGTCCACCTCAAGATCCAGCCATTCCTCTCTTGGGTATATACACAAATACTGCATGTTCATACAACAAGGACATATGTTCAACCATGTTCATAGCAGCATTGTTTGTAATAGCCAGAACCTGGAAGCAACCTAGATGCC